CAGCACAAGAACATCCAGCAACATTGCAGCAACATTGTAATGTTGCTGGACGTTCTTGTGCTGTATGGGTATATATATATCACACATTAATTCTGTTAGAATGTTGTACAAAGCATGTATGTATATATAGTATATCTAGGTTTTATTACACGAAATAATTATAATACATTCCCCTCTATTTTGCTTCGCGTGAAAGCTGATTTCTTACAATCAAATCGTGATAGTCAAATACGTATAAGATTATTATTGCGTTTGCCTGCGTCATAAAGGTGCGTTATAAATATTGCATAATTACGATTGTTTTAACGCTCTCATAAATTAGCAGGGATGAGAAGTAACTCGTTACTTGTACACGAAGTTACAGTTACAGTTACCTTTTTATTAGTAACTCTAACTTAACTCAGTTACATTTTTCGATAACTAGTAATCAATTTAATATATACTTACATTAATAATTACAGCTAATTCAGTAATTACATTAACAGTTACTTTATATATATATTTTTTTTAAACATCCACAGATCACATCAGGCCTTGCATTTGTGCATAAACGTCTTTATCGACACTTTACAATTTAAATGCAGATTTGATATTTTTGTTTCATTGCGAGAAAGTAACTGCAAAGTAACGATTCGGTACTTTTTGAGTAACTATAACGCGTTACTTTTCAGAATTGGTAACTTGTAACCAGTTACATTTTTAGCGAAAAAACTGTAACCGTAACTAGATTCTTTTATAAACAGTTTATGATGCAACTTTCCCAACCCTGTAAATTAGTATATTTGATATTTCATTTTCGCCTCAACTATAAAGTATTGTTCCATTTCCACATGTTAAAGACTGCCATGTATGTACGTATTGTGTAAATTAGAATATAATGGTTGTAAGAAATGTAATTTTCATCGATTTATTATTTCTAAAACAAGAAAAAAACAGCATCGATGTACTAGAGTAAAAGGCAAACTGCGTGTGTCTCATCGTAATATGACGTAAGTTTCAATGTCAAGAGCACGTAAATGGGTGAAGGTGAACAAGCAAGTGACTTTTCTCTTTCGCCAAGAGATCAGACGACGCGATCCAGTGCTTCCACAGCAGTACTGCTCTCGAGGTGCCTCGAAGATCAAAATAAATTAACACATACCGAGCGATAAAGTCAATGGATAAATCGCAAATTAATTATTCTTTGTTATATAAAAAGAATTTCGAAACATTTATTTGAACGTTATACTCTTCCGTTAAAAAAAATTTATCGAAGAGTGAAGTTGAAGACTGAACTAACTTGAAGTAACGTGAAATAATATATAATAATAATAATAAAGTGCGAAGGAACATGCCGCATTTCTCATATCCTGAAGTCCTGGCGGAAGCGGCAGGTGTGAAGATCGTGACATCTCTTCCCACAGAAGATGCGAATTCATTTCCGCCGGGGAAAATGGTCCTTGAAATGCGGAGAGTCTACGCGGAATCATATATGCACGGTAAATCTTGCGGATTTCACTTGACCAAGTCGAAGTGGGATCCGTATCCGTGGGTCGGCCACGTCGAGAATAATAGTCCTGCCGACTTAGCAGGATTGAAGTAAGTTGTATTTAATCTTCAGAAGCATCGAATATATTAATGAATGCAGCATATAAAAGTCCAATACATATTTAAAGAATAGAGGAAAGTCCCCTATTATGAGGTAGGCTCCTAATATGAGGTAGCGGAGTTTCGGCTAAATTAATAGGCATCATCTGTTGGTTCCACCATGAATTTATTGCTCTTGGAGTGAAATCTGTTTAGTGGAAAATTGATTGTTAGACCGTGTAATCGTTGCGAAAAAGGATTTGTGATTGAATTTGGACGCTGAAAACCTGCTATCCTGTGTTAGAATCCTATCTCGTAATAGAGGACTCCGCTATATGTATATATTTTTTCTTTTAAATTATATAACTTCTCTTATTTCACAAATTATCTTCTTTTAAATTGACATAAGATAATTTTGCTTTATATAAAGAAAAATCACGTGTACATTTTGACGTAAACTAATTTCACGTTCCATTAGAGCGGGCGATTGTTTACTGGGCGTTGACGACACTGATTTGTTAGGGCTGAAGATCAAGGACGTCGCTACTTTAATTCGTAACGAGGAAGGCGTGCGAGATTCAAATTTTCTCATTTGGAGATGTACGCATCAAGAAGAGGAGCGGAACGATATTGGGCTGGCTCTGAAGGGTCCACTGCCGAATGTAGCCAGAAATCTTGCAAATGCATTATCAGGAACGGTGCGTATGTATTCTGTGAGTCAAAAACCTTGGGTCCATTGTTTTCCTTTTCTTTTGTATTTTTATAGACCGTTCATTTATCCCGTGGTAGATCTATTAACTGAGAAATCTAACGTAGAGGCATTATAACTCCTTCTATCTTTAACAATGAAATTATTCTAGGAGGCTAATGATTAATAATCCAGAGTTAAACTGTAAGCTATAAACATAATCCTTTTCCTCACTATTAAATTTTTTTCTTATCTGCTTCGGTATTTGTCATAAAATTTTTTTCTTCTTAGATCCGCGCCTTGGAATGTCCGATTTGCTTGGAAAGCGCTGCGCCTCCGGTCTCGCAATGTGTCCACGGCCACATCCTGTGCGTCGTTTGCAGGCCGAAAACTACGCGTTGTCCGGTCTGCAGAGTCCGGCTTGGCCAGGGCCGATGCCTTCTCGCGGATAAATTACATAGAACACTTCGCGATGCCTTTAACGTGGATGATGACAAGACACCCGTCACAACCGAACGTTGTAACTTACGTGATCAATTGTTCGGTAAAAGTAGCAAGAGGCAAGAGGCTGCGGCCGTAAACCGATCAAAGAATAACTGTGCCACGTTGAAACCGAGACAATTCTTATTAGCCAGACTGTTGCTCGGAGGCAGGGAGAAAGCTGCCTCCGTGGATAATCTAATTCGAGTATCCGAGTCGAAAGAAGCTGCGACGATTCCTGATGGAATGACAGACGTTAACAGTCTACGCGTGCGACTATCCTTGAACGATCGCACCAAGTCAGCTAGTACCGGCGAACTGTCGAGGAGTAACGAAGCTCATGATTCTTCTTCGCAAATTGTTGAATCATCCGCAAGGAATGCCAGTCAACACTCGCTAAGTTTGCCCCAGACGCCGATCTGGGGCGGCTCCACGGATTCTGTGTCTTGCACACAATTGGCATGTCCGCTTTTACAATCTTGCAGAGAAGTAGTGACGTCTGACTCACTGCTGGAACATATCAGGGCTCACGCGGTGCCGCAAGTTCATTTCTATTCTGGAAACGCAAGGCTGCCGCTTCCGCTTCCTTTCGGACGCGACGCCTTTTATATATTTCACCATGGAAGCAACATGTTTTTCTTCCAGGTATAACGTCTTTACCCTTGACAAGAAATAATTTCTCCTTGCTCTTTCGTACGAAGACGCGGTATTTTTCCATTCTTATCTTAATCCCTTACAGTAAAGTCCCTGCAAAGAAATTGACAAGACATAAAAGTCTGTGTTATTTCGTAATCGTTTCAATTACACGTATCTGTTGATTTAGAGAAAGAATATTTGTCTCTTACGCTTACTTTATCCAATACAATCGATTACAATTTCATGTTATCCATCAATTTTAATATTAATCTTATGATTAAAAATTTTGATGTGTACTGATACGGAAAGTGTTTATAAGAGAAACATATAATATTGTACTCTTTTGTAGACGCACACACTGAAATTTAGATCAAACAAATGAATTATTTTGTATTGATTTATACACACGCAACGAAAACGGAACAAGATAAGATAGAGAATATAAGATAAAAAGTGCAATCTATTATGAAATGCACACAACACACGAGAGTATTTTTATCTGGCATTATCAAACTTCGAGGATATCGAGACCTACTTCGCAGGAAACGCCCGGAAATGACAACTCATAATATTTATATAAGCTCTAATTATCTTGGAAAATACTTTGCGTTACGTGGTTGATGATAGACGAAAATGCGCGAGACATTTATAATAGGTACATATTTACAGAGATGTAAAGATCACGTTATTCTTATGTGCAGCACGAAGAGGAGACGGCATGGATGACGTATCCCGCTAAAAAGACGTGTTCAAGCAGCATATGGGAGTGGACGTTGCACGCTTGGGGTGACAACGGTACAGAAATACAATTGCGACGACATGTAGCGAGTCTCGAGGATTCCGCAGCATTGTCTTCGCAGCATATTGCCCCATTGCCAAACGCATTACTGTTGAAGATCATTGAAATACAAATATCAGAATACGGAGTACACGATAGATTGTACATGTAAAGAAAATATGTATATCTATGATTTCTAACAAATTCATTAATTTGTAACTAACGCGAAAACGTAATTATTAAAGCAATAATTACTAGAATTTATTAAAAATCCATTGTGAAAAAACTTACTGTGAACAAAAACGTGTATAAGTGAACTTTACCGTTTTTTTTTAACATAAATAACACCATAGAAATACCTTATACTTTATAGAGCTGGATCCGAGTACCTAATAATTTTTACATATACGTTTGTCATTGAAAACGTTTATCATTGATATGACGAATGATAATGTATCGTATTAATACGATAATCACTGGAGGAGAATGAGCATTTATTATTTAAGAGGTACAGTTATTTATTTAAAATCTTAATTCATAAACATATAACGAGTAACATCATGTAGCGTATAACGTATAACGAGAAAATCTAGTTTTTGAAAAACTAATGAACTTATTGGTTAAGATATAAAATAATTATCTTATACGTATTGCAAAAATGCTGCTTACAGAGGAACATACAAAACACAAAAGTCGATGTCTGTCAAGAGCGCGTTTCTTAACACGAAAAGTATTGTAGAGCCAAAGTACGTACTTCTTATTTTGCTCTATATTGCAACATTCAATATTGTAATCATCAAAATTGGAAGAGAGAGAAAGGATGCTTATGCATGGTTTCCTCGTTTGTTCCTTAAGACTTTCGTTAAAATACTGTAATTAATGTATTTTCGAACATGCAGTATATCACAAAAGATATATATAGACGTTGGCTTAATTAATAATACACTTAAACCGGTAAGGAGATGTGACATTTTGACCGAAACTGAGCTATCAGTGTTTGTGCTGTTTAGCATTGTCGTGCACTGATTTACATAAAGTAACGAATCTATCTTGTTTAACAGAGCCATCTGACAGCCATTACATGACATGGACAGGCGAATCTGTTAAAAATTTTTTTTTAAACTTTCAGAGGTTCCTAGAACAAAGTATAAAAGCTATTTAAAAATTCATATAGCTCATAAAAAATGTTCTTACATATGTATGTGATTTTGTCTCACATGTCCTTTTTGTCCTAACCGATTAAATAGTTCATATTCAACACTCTTTAATTGACAAAAAGCAGCTATTAATAAAAATAAAAATGCTGCTTATAAACGCATTATCACTATCTAGTAAGCAAACTGTAATAAAATCACATAACATGCAGACAAGATAAAAAAACTAATTGGTAAAAACATGTTATAAAAAGTATATAATCTATTTTTATCGTAAAATAAAAACACTGTAAAAAGAAAACTTGAAACTTGGAATCATAGGCGCTTTAAGGAATTTTGTGCAATATGTCATCCATGTACGGCTTATAAAATTCATGTTGACCAGTTTTCGCCGCTTGACCGGCCATAACATCGTACGCATACTTGTAAACTGCTAAAGAATTCTCTTTGCCGACGACATTTAGCTCGATTTTATAAACATGTTTGTCGGTACACATCTTTTTGTTCTGCGTTAAAACAAGCTGCCGTTTGGCAGGCACCTCCTTTAAATCTTCTTCTTTTTGTTTGTCTCGCTTGGGACAACTACATATTCTAATCAATAGTGTCTGACTCGCCAAAATTTGGCCAATTTCATTCTCTAAAGTAAATACCAGCTCTGTTCCTCTACGATTTATGCCCGACGGGCAGCTATTTTTGCAAAAGAACTTGAAGCACATCGGCACGTATTGCGAGCCAGACTCGGGTGCACAAAGTGGCGTTACAACCGAAAGATGATCTTTTTCTTCTCGGTAGAAGCAAGCATGATTAACGCAATGGACTACGTGTTTGATTCTCTCAGACTCCATGGATTGGTTAACGTAAACCGACGAGTCTGAATGGTTCAAGCAGCGTCTTACCGGGTCGCTTTTATGTTCGTCCAGAACAAAAGTCAATCTTGTCCGTAAGAATAAATTCGATGTGGTCGAGTGAGGTTCCCATGAAAATCGTAAAGGTAGTACCTTTTCCATTTTGATGAACAGCTTTTTCAATGCTTCAGAGTACTGTGTGAAAATAAAACAGATATAAACGTGCAAAATCCTCGCAGCATTGTGCAGAACGTCAGTCATTGTATATATGTACATATGTACATGGCATATATATAAAATTATAAGTTTAATTTGCAAAATGGTTTAGTTTATATCGTAAGAAAATTTATATTGTTAATAGAAAATCATCATGCATATTACACATGTAACACTAATCTAGTACAAGACAAGCATACAACTGCAATATATAAAATCTGCTCAAATGTGATTCTTACGTAACAGACCAGATTCAACGATTGGATGATAAAACATTTTCACACAAAGCGACGTCTCTTAATCTCACCTTCCTTCGTCATCTTATTTTTGACCCCATACAATCTCGTGAGCGATCAATTTGACAATTTCACGCGTGAAAGCTCAAGTCGTCAGATCTGAGCAGACTTGTATATTTTTGACAGCACAGTGATACAGTCAACGATTAGATACCAAAGTATTTTCAAAGCGAGATCTCTTACTTTCATCTTCGTCTATCATCTTACTTTTCCCCCACATAATTTTGTGAGTCAAATGATTTAGAAGAAACTGCGTTCACAGTTTACATGGAATATCCCGTACAAAAAGAACAATCAGGATTAAAAACTAATGGCATTTGCCATCAAGAGGCAGAATTTATCTGCAAGGAGGTACATGTTATTCGACGGTAGACACCACTCTAGCTCAAAAAAATAGGAAAAAACTAGTGCAGTTCAATGTAATCTCCCTGCATAATTAATAAGTACTGGATCTATTGTTCTCCACAAGTCTGCTTACCACCCAATCCTGAGCACCACCTTCTCCGAAGGTATACTGTAAGTTCCACGAGTGAACCATATCATCGTTGTATGGAGATGAATACAGTTCAAATTGAGGCATCTCCTCTTCATAGTATCTCTTTAGCTGCTTTTTTCCCACCGAGTCTGCGGACTTGACGAATTTGTCCTCGGGAATATCAAGTTCTGAGAACGGCAGGTCACCGGCGCTTTAAGAAGGCAAGAACGAACGTTGGATCACTTTGTTGCGAGAACGAGTGCATTCGCGATACAGAATCCTGGACCGGCACAATAAAAGGTGCTAAACAAAAATTAAGTACTTACAAACTGTCCCTTATATGCTGGATGGCCTCGTCGTCTATCAAGGTAGACTCCTGAGAGTCCGACATATACTTTTTCGCCATATCCGGCCAACTTTCAGCCCGACTCGATCGAGGAACGAAAGAAATTCAGGACGAACACCACGCGACTGACGCAACCAACCGGCTATTCTTTGTTTCGGACAGTGTTGACAGTACAGTCCAAGTGCAGTGTTGTCAAGTCGTTTCGGACATCTTTTTTTCTAGCGTTCTCCCACGTTCCCGACTCCCCACCCGGGACGGTCCAGAATGTTCGAATCGCATACATATATATATAGAACTTCCTACATTGCTAACTCGGTAGGAAGACCGAGCGAAAACATATTACGGTGCAGACCACGGTCATTTACATACAGGTCCTTCAACTCAGCCACATTTTGGTGGTGGGGGTAGGTCGAATTTTTAAACCAAAAATTGTTCGTCTCTTGACCACGAGGGTCGCTGCGATACTATAGTACAGCGGTAGTAGGACAGAGACACAGATATAGAAATCACGGTTTCGATCGCCAATCGCAAGATTATTCTGATAGAGCCCTTTCAAAAATTCCGTCGAAACGGTCTTGTGATTGGCGATCCGCTGATTCCGCTTCCGCGTATTCCGCTCCATGGGACTCCACCCTAAGTCCCAGTCTACAATAGATGATTTAAGCCCTAAGCTTTAAGAAATTGGCCAATCACGGTCAAGTATGAGAAGAATGCGCGACTGTGATTAGTCAATTTCTTAAGGCTTAGGGCTTAAATCTCTATTGTAGACTGGGACTAAGGGTGCCGTCCCATGGCGCGTATCGCGATACGCGCGTATCGGGCGTATCAACTCGTCGACCAATCACGGACGATCCGCCGTTTTTGATACGCTCAACAATCCTCTGAACATTCTTCGAGCGGATCGCACACTCACAAGTACATCGTAACGTACGTGTGGGTCGAGAGCCCTCCTTCTTGAGTTAGGTTAGGTGACATATTGATAGTAAGCCCAACATTCCCAGCAAACACACAGCAACAGTAACATAACTGTTAGTTGTAATTTCCCAATTTATTGTTGAGTGGAATCAACTAAG